GTGAATACAAACTCTCCCTGTGTCTGGGGTACCCAGTTGCTCCAAGCTGATACAGTAGCCCACACTTGGCCTTTAGGGTTTCCTTACAATTTTAACTGATTTCTTTTTTTTTTAATTTTATTTATTTATTTATTTATTTATTTATTTATTTTGGCTGTGTTGGGTCTTCGTTGTGGCACACAGCCTCTTCATTGTGGTGTGCGAGCTCAGTAGTTGTGGTATGTGGGATCGTAATCCCCCAACCAGGGGTCGAACCGGGGCCCCCTGCACCGGGAGCATGGAGTCTTAACCGCTGGACTGCCAGGGAAGTCCCTTAACTGATTTCTTTTATGTGCTCCCCATGGTGGACTCTTCCTTCCGTGCTCTACAAACTGTGAAACAGTGTCTGCATCTTCTCTCTTCTTGGAGGGGTTTTTTCACTCCTTGGAATTCAGTTCCCTTGTGATCACAGTTCTTTGATGGGTATAAGCAAAGTTGTGATATTATTGACAGTCTGGCTTTTTCTTGTTAAGTGGGAGTGATGTTCTCTCGGCTTTCTGCATAAGCTGTCATCTGAACTGGACTTGCCCACGTTTGGGACTGTCCGATCACCCATAGGTTCCCAAGCCATTAGCAGATCCGTGAGGAGAGCATCCTCAGGCCAAGCAGCTTTCTGTTACTTGCAGTAAAGGGCCCTTCCATGTGAGGAGGAAGCAGCGTTTGACCATATCTAGCTTTTCTTCAAGTTATTTTCAATTCATCTGATTTTATAAAATGACCTTCAGAGTGACTGTTTTTGCTCCAGATCCATTTTTTTTTTTTTTTTACTTTTTTCCTTTTTGCTCATCTTGGAGAGCACATCAAAGCTTTAAAGATGTATGAAAAAACCTTGCAAGGTAACCCTGATGTACCCGGCATGACTTATTCCTTCAACTCAGAGTTATTGTTACTGAGCTGAAGAAAGGTCAGGCCTTGCTGTGCTTGTTTAATAGGCCTCAAGTTGTTTCTGGGGTTTTTTGTTTTGTTAAGGATAGAAGTTTCTTTTTCTTTTCTTTTTTTTTTTTTTAACATATTTATTGGAATATAACTGCTTTACAAGGATAGAAATTTCTTTAACCAGCGTTTCCAAACTCTCTTTCATCCCAGACTCCCTTCAATAAACATAAAGATCTCATACTCTTCTTTAATGTTACTTATACATCAGAGTAAATAACTGGACTCAAAACAAACCAGAAGGATAAACGGCTGCTCTGTCTTCATGCTCCATCCCCATTGTTAGGGCGCCGTGTCAGTTTCTGCCAGCATATTGAATCAGCAGGTTGATTCGTCATTTTCTCGTGGTGTATATTGAGAAATAGTCAAACAGAAAATGGAAACAAATCAGCTTAGAAATACAACAGGAATGCAGTAGGACCCAGCAGGCCATGCTGTCCCAGCAGGACATCAAATCCTGGGCCTTGAGACCAGACTCCGACTCCTCAGACGGGTTTCCTCTTCTCTAGAAGGTGCTACGGTGGTTGCATCAGACTCAAGCACCTTGTTGCCGGCAAAGAAATGAGGCCCACCTATTTGTCACCTCATTTCAGGATGAGAATTTATGAAATTGCTCACGCCCATTTATGAACTGCTACCTCTGAAATACCCCAGATGGTCATTTTAGAGGCCAAAAGGTAGTGACAAACGTCTGTTAAATAAAGTAGGCAGTCTTGTTAGAAATACGTATGTTTTTCCATTGGGTTCAATGTGGCTACTTCCGTTTTTATTGTTAAATATAAGTTCTATAAACATTTTTGTTCTTCCTGAGTTTGCTGTGATGCAGAAAAGCTCGCTTAGCCTCTTGCTAGGTCATTGCTTTCACAAAATTATTCCTGATACAAAAATGTTATTCTGTAAATAAGCATTGGTTAAACATATAAATGAATCTTTAAGCTTCTGTCCTGTTCAAAATTTTATGATGCTTTATCTAGAATTCAGAATTTCAGGGTTGATATAGAGGTGGGTTCTTTTGGAAGCTGGTTTTCTTCCAGACTGGACGTAACTTTTGTGTTTCTTCTCTTGGTATTAAGAAGTGTTTGTAGTGCAGCAGAAATGCACCAGTGGACCAAGTTTATCTACATGTTGTGGTTTCCACCACTCGGAAGCTTTAGGTGACGAGTACTTACAACATTAAGAGCTAGTTCTGAAACATCATCTGTACAATTTTTAAAAGTATTTGGAGGCATCTCCATCTCAGCAGCAGCTTACGTTTTTTTTCTTCTGGTTTTAGGTGATTAGTGCATGTAAGTTATACACATTAGTTTTCCTTTAGTTAAAAAAACAACTGTATGTGTAGCACATATAGTTTGATCACTTTTTAATTTTAAATTTAAACTAACTAACATTAAGACGCAACACAGAAAATAGATTCCAACTCTGCTGCCAACGGGCTGCTTAGCTTATGCGCGTACGTGATCACTGCTGGGCTAAAAAGTGAAGGCTAGGTGGAAATATGTAGGATGGGATAAAGATTCTGGGACAAAGTCAGGCAGGTTGGGGGCCTGGGTCTCCTGCTGAGGAAGCCCAGTTCTCCCTCCATCTGCCTTCCTCTTCCTTTCCTCTGGGCTGTGGGGAACCAGCTTGCCTTCACATCCACCTGTTGCTTCCAGCCAGTGATTCTGGTCCATCTGGTGATGAGGGCCAGCTCCCGCCTGCTCTGTTAGTCACTAAGCAAGCACGCTTCTCTTTTGATGTTTTCTAATAGCTTTTTCTGCTAGCAGAGAAGGAGAGACAGACCTTTTCATTCAGGCCTCCGTGTGCTAAAGTGGTAGTCCAGTATTAATCAATATGTTGAGAATGACAGAATAAAAGATTACACTGTTGAGAAAATGCTGTATATATTTCAGTGAATAAATGGATAGGCACCTCCATTTATCTTTGTGATTCCTTTTACTAGTGGCAGCTTTGAGATATAATTTATAAAAATTATAAAATTCCCTTACTTAATTAGTATGCTGTCTTTATTAAAGGTAAATATTATTTTTAAAGGTAAAGACAACCCTCATTCTGAAAAATAGGAAATTCATACATTTGTTTCATACCCTTATACATGGCTGATTACAAATTTAATTTCATGCCAACTTGCTTGAATAGACAATCTAAGTTTTAGGGATTGGAACAGCTGTAGTATTCAATACAATGTATTTTATAGATACCATTACCACAGCTTTAATATCTTTTGCACTTTATTGCTTGAAGGATACAATTATAAAGAAATACTCTGCCTTGTGGCTTTTATGTTTCATGTTGGCATTCAGATCACAAAAGCCTCTTTGGTTCATTTTGAAACTTTGAGGGAAATGATACCTGTATGATTTAAAGTTTAAGTTTAATTGCCTTCTGCAAATTGCTTTTGGAAGTATAGGTAGTCAAAAAGTAAAAGTAGTTTTAAATTTCAGAGGCAGAGAATAGCATAAACACTTTTTTAAATGTAGAGGTTTTATTCAAAATAGATTCTCTTGGGGACTTCCCTGGCAGTCCAGTGGTTAAGACTCCATGTTTCCACCACAGGGGACGTGGGTTCGATCCCTGGTCAGGGAACTAAGACCCCACATGCTGCGTGACACGGCCAGAGAAAAAAAAAGATTCTCTCAGAGCAGGAAAGTTAGAATGCCTTTGTACAATATTTTGCATGCTCTTTTCTTTATTGTGTGAAAGTCATATAATCCCAACCTCCATCTCTATTTCTTATTTATGAATATAATGACTTACTGAAAATTTATCACAAATTTCATATGCCTCCTGAAAGGCAATGTCGAGTTTTAGGTTAAAATTGTGAAAGATGTTGTGAGGCCATTTGAGCAATTTAAAATAATAATAATAATAAAGGCAGTCTATACAGGGAAAGAACTTAAATGCACACATAGATGTGGCATCAGCTCCTTGAGGTGAGCGCCTGCTACATCATGCAGGAAAGTTGAGGAGTGCATTACTGGTGATGCAGACTGCTGTAGAAATAGATGTTGCCTGAAGTTTTTCACTTGGTAGTGTTACTAGTCTGTTAACATTGGAAGGACTTAGGTGACTTGTTCTAAACATTCGCCTGGTGCATGGGAGCAGGCTTTAATAAATCCAACCCCAGAATTTTAGAAGCACCTCTAGCTGAAATCTGGGCCTCCCACCCAGACTTAATACAATGACAGAAGTAAAACCATATCTATTTGAAGTGTTTAGGACCATGACTAATCTAATATGAGGCTCTGAAAAGCCAAGAATTGCCACTGGAATTTCAGTTTCTACTCACGTAACACATAATTTAATGGTTCATACTTAGTTTCCAGAAATAGCCCCAGACAGCTTAGTGAGTCCAAGTGGTTAGAAAGTGGTTTTAAACTTTATTGTACATTCCCATCACCTAGAGTGCTGCCTAAAATGTAAATTCCTGGGCACCACCCCCTGGAAAGCTGATTCCATGAGCCTAGGAATCTGCATTTTACCCAGGTAACCCAGGGGATTCTGAGGAAAGTGGTTTAGTGACAACCTTTCAGGAAACACTGGTGCAGGAGGTGTATACCCAGCAGGGCCTGCTTCATGGGTGTACTACCAGTGCATTGTACAGGCCCCATACTCAGAAAGGCTGTGTAGCTGGCTTAACGCTCTTCCACGACCTTCTTAAAATTCTTAATTTCTGAATGAGGTTGTTCATTTTCCCCTGCATTTTCACCTTCCCCCGGGCCCTGCAAATTGTGTGGCCAATTCTCTATGCGAGCTTTTATTATGTATTACTGGAATTGTGTTTCTTGATCCTCATGGGTTGCAATAATTCAATAATGATTTTTTTTTTTACCTGTCTGTATTAGGCTGTAAATGCCAAGGCCGCTTCTAAGCTTTAGAAGTGAATGAGTATCATTCATTATAGAACATACAGTTGGAAATCCTAAGAGTATGATTTTTTTTCCCCAAGGAAATTAAAGTTTTATTCCTAGTCTTGAACATAGAAACCTATGTTTCTGTTACCCTAATACACTATGATTTTTTTCTCCTAGGATGGTACAAAACAGAAAAGAGAGCGGAAAAAGACGGTCTCCTTCAGCAGTATGCCCACGGAGAAAAAGATCAGCAGTGCAAGTGATTGTATCAATTCCATGGTGGAGGGTTCGGAACTCAAAAAGGTTCGCTCCAACTCTAGAATTTACCACAGGTATTTTTTACTGGACGCTGACATGCAGAGCCTGAGGTGGGAGCCATCCAAGAAGGATTCTGAGAAAGCCAAGATTGATATTAAATCCATCAAGGAAGTGAGAACAGGAAAAAATACAGACATATTCCGCAGCAATGGCATTTCTGACCAGATATCTGAAGACTGTGCATTTTCAGTCATCTACGGAGAGAATTACGAGTCACTTGATTTGGTTGCCAACTCCGCAGATGTTGCGAACATCTGGGTCACGGGACTGCGGTACCTAATTTCTTATGGGAAACATACACTCGATATGTTAGAGAGTAGCCAAGACAACATGAGGACTTCTTGGGTCTCACAAATGTTTAGTGAAATTGATGTAGATAACCTGGGACATATAACTCTGTGCAGCGCCGTGCAGTGTATCAGAAACCTCAATCCTGGTTTAAAAACGAGCAAAATTGAGCTTAAGTTCAAAGAATTGCACAAGTCCAAGGACAAAGCTGGTACTGAAGTCACAAAGGAGGAATTTGTTGAGGTTTTCCACGAGCTTTGTACTAGACCTGAAATTTATTTCCTTTTAGTTCAGTTCTCAAGCAATAAAGAATTCCTTGATACCAAGGACCTTATGATGTTTCTGGAGGCAGAGCAGGGTGTGGCACATATAAATGAGGAAATAAGCCTTGAAATTATTCACAAATATGAGCCATCCAAAGAGGGTCAGGAAAAGGGCTGGCTTTCCATAGACGGGTTCACTAATTACCTTGTGTCATCTGACTGTTATATATTTGATCCAGAGCATAAGAAGGTCTGTCAGGACATGAAGCAACCCTTGTCTCATTACTTTATAAACTCATCTCATAATACGTACTTAATAGAGGATCAGTTCCGAGGTCCCTCTGATATCACAGGATACATCCGAGCTCTTAAAATGGGTTGCCGGAGTGTTGAATTGGATGTATGGGACGGGCCGGATAACGAACCTGTGATTTACACAGGCCACACCATGACCTCGCAGATCGTCTTCCGCAGCGTCATTGATATTATTAACAAGTATGCATTCTTTGCTTCAGAGTACCCTCTCATCCTGTGTTTGGAAAATCACTGCTCTATTAAACAACAGAAGGTCATGGTTCAACACATGAAGAAAATTTTAGGAGACAAGCTCTACACAACCTCACCCAGTGCTGAGGAATCGTACTTGCCATCCCCAGATGTCCTGAAAGGGAAGATACTCATCAAGGCAAAGAAGCTGTCTTCCAGCTGCTCTGGAGTAGAGGGCGATGTTACTGATGAGGATGAAGGGGCAGAGATGTCCCAGAGGATGGGCAAGGAGAACGCAGAGCTGCCCAACCACGTGCCTGCCAAGCGCTTCCAGCTCTGCAAAGAGCTGTCCGAGCTGGTGAGCATCTGCAAGTCGGTGCAGTTCAGAGAGTTCCAGGTGTCCTTTCAGGTTCAGAAGTACTGGGAAGTCTGCTCATTCAACGAAGTGCTTGCCAGCAAATACGCCAACGAGAATGCAGGGGACTTTGTCAATTATAACAAGCGCTTTCTCGCCAGGGTTTTTCCCAGCCCCATGAGAATTGACTCCAGCAACATGAACCCTCAAGATTTTTGGAAATGTGGTTGTCAGATCGTGGCCATGAACTTTCAGACCCCGGGACTGATGATGGACCTGAACATCGGCTGGTTTAGGCAGAACGGGAACTGCGGCTACGTGCTGCGGCCGGCCATCATGAGGGAGGAGGTCTCCTTCTTCAGCGCCAACACCAAAGACTCCGTCCCAGGAGTCTCACCCCAGCTCCTTCACATCAAGATCATCAGCGGGCAGAACTTCCCCAAACCCAAAGGATCGGGTGCTAAAGGCGACGTGGTGGACCCTTACGTCTACGTTGAGATCCACGGGATCCCCGCTGACTGTGCAGAACAGAGGACGAAAACAGTGCACCAGAACGGAGACGCTCCCATCTTTGACGAAAGCTTTGAGTTCCAGATCAACCTGCCCGAACTGGCCATGGTGCGCTTTGTGGTCCTGGACGACGACTACATCGGGGATGAGTTCATCGGCCAGTACACGATTCCCTTCGAGTGTCTGCAGACGGGCTACCGCCACGTGCCGTTGCAGTCGCTCACCGGCGAGGTCCTCGCCCACGCTTCTCTGTTCGTGCACGTGGCCATCACGAACCGGAGAGGAGGCGGGAAGCCTCACAAGAGGGGCCTCTCTGTGAGGAAAGGGAAGAAGTCCAGGGAATATGCGTCCCTGAGAACACTGTGGATTAAAACTGTGGACGAGGTCTTCAAGAATGCCCAGTCCCCAATTCGGGACGCCACCGACCTGAGAGAGAACATGCAGGTACGGCGCGGGGGCTTGTGTGCGCCTGCGCGCGGGCTCGTGTGCGACTGCGCGCGGTGTAAGAGTCTTTTGGAGGGTTTCTTTAAATAGTCGTATTTCCCATCTTAAATACTTTGTAAATTCCCATCGCTTGTAAGAATGTTTACCACCGATCTCGTTTTTTTTTTATCATTGTGAATTTCCAAAACGGCAGCTGGTATTGAACACACTCTATGGGAATGAGACAGCCTTGCTACTGAGTCCGCACCTGCCCTGGTCCCTGTTAATCACTAGGGAACAGTCCCCCGTCTTCTCTAAAAGCGCACGTGGGAATCTCTGGTATTTCTGAATATTCCTTAGCTGGAACACACTGACGTCAAGCCCATCAAACTAGAGGGACACGTTCCGGTCCTTTCTTGTGGGGCCGTCATGCTGCGGGAATGGTGAGCCTGTAAACAGCCCGTGGGTTTATGTATTGAGCCTGCTCTTGACTCTGCAGCGCAGCTATCTAATTGTGTAAGTAAAAGACACGTGACACCTGTATTTATTAGATGTCTGAGATAATAATTACCTCTGAACCGCGTAGTGGCGAAAAGCAATCAGTCAGGGTTAGGTATGTAATTAAGGATTGTCCACGTGTCTAGCAGGATACTGGGGCTACCAGTGATGCAGAACGAGGCTGCGAGGGCTACCTCACACACACACCTACCCCAGCCCATCCCAGTGTGTGATGGATCACCGCTCAGTGTGTTTAAAAACGATAAAAAAAAAAGATACATACACACACACACACACATACGTGTATATATATATAATCTTTATAACTATTATGAGCAGAATGCCAGCAGCAAGTAAAATTAAAAGACCTTCCCACGATGGAGACATTCTGTTTTATTTCTTGTCTCATAGTAAATGTGGAGGGTGTCTCCCTATCTCTGAGGGTGCCATGGTTGGTGGACCTCAGCTCTGAGCAGCCTGCACGTCCCTGCCCTACGGCAGCTGTCATGCACATGAAGCCGAGCGCCGTCCTTCCAGGGCCGCGTGTCTGTGCTGAACCCACACTGCAGTCGGCGCTGTGTGATGCCCCTGCCACACCCGGGCGGTCGGGCCAGGGATGCAGCAGGAAACAGCAGATTTTAGTTGGGGCTGGGCAGCAGATAATAAACGAATAGGACAACGGCAGGTGCAGAAGAAGTAACTGGGGAGTGTGATGGTGTGACTGGGGGCCCCCCTTAGAGCTCTCAGTAAGGATTTATTGTTATGAGCAGCCAACATCCAAGTGATTTTGGACAAAATGATACACAGCTTGATGCCCATATTTAAAGCAATATTAATAAAAAGAAAATGTTTAAATTTAAAACCAACGTGCGGCACATTTCCAAGGACGGGGGTGTTTGAGAACAGAAGGCACAGGGCTTGGGGGGCCCAGATCCCTCCCCTATGGCCGCCATGCTCAGCCCAGGTCAGGACCCAGGTGTGCCTGGGGTGACTCGTTTTTCGGTTGGAATGTACCTGTTCTGGCAGCACAGTGATTAAGAGCAGAGGCCTCATCCTCAGCAGACTTCAGGTAAAATCCCGACCCCTTCACCTGCTAGCTGTGTGACCTCAGATAGACAACAGAGACAGGCCACAGCTGAGGCTCGGGCCCAGCGTGGCTGGTTGAGAGGATCAGATGGGGTCATGTATATTACCTATGCCTTGCACACGGTGCTCAGAGAACACCGACTCGTGGCTTTTTACAGTATGGAAGGGTTTCCTTTAACGGGGATTTTAATGGCACCTCTGGTGATTAGAAAAAAAGAGCATTGAGAACAGGAGAAGCAGCATGGAGACGGGACTAGGGGAAGGGAAGGCTGTGGTACCGGGCAGGAAGGTCTCCCACCGGGCACATCTCCACGGAAACTGCAGCATCCTCCAAGTTCCTTTAGCTTTGGAACCAGCTGGTATGAACAGGTGAGAGAGACTCAAGTTTCTATCTTGCAAATATTCCTCTTTTTTTTTTTTTTGGATGGCTGGCATATTTGATACTTATTTTAAGCCTGATTTTTTTTTTTTTCTGAATCTTTACCTTTTTGAATGCAGAAGCCTTCTTTTTGGTTTGTTCATAATTACATATTAGCACTGCTGTGAACTTTGATCTGAAAAGTAGCTTTGCCCTTCGAAAGAATTTAACTTATTTGCCTTTTCCATACTTTTGGTAAATTGGTATTACAAATATCTATAACTATGTTTACTTTGGAAAGTAGCCATTTTTCCCAGGATAAGATAATCATTAACCATGTCTGTCATAAAACTGCTAGTAACTGTTGTACCAGGCAGTCCAAGGATAACCAAGTATATTGAGTATAACATCCCCGAGAAATTAAAACCCTGGTGAATTACAAAGCGCCTTCTTCTTTCCATTGAGCAGAATGCAGTGGTGTCCTTCAAGGAGCTGTGTGGCCTCTCCTCCGTAGCCAACCTCATGCAGTGCATGCTGGCGGTGTCTCCCCGCTTCCTGGGACCTGATAACACGCCCCTGGTGGTCCTGAATCTCAGCGAGCAGTATCCCACCATGGAGTTGCAGGGAATCGTGCCCGAGGTTCTGAAAAAGATCGTAACAACTTACGACATGGTGAGTGGCTCTTTGCACTTTTATGGAGCCCAGGGGAGGGAGGTGTCTTAGGACAGTACCCCGCCATGCTTAGGAGCTCTTGCTGAGGTGTGCTTTCCTAGTTCAGGCTTCCTTTACCTGTGCTGGAAAAGTTATTCCCCTGACCTTGCTGTATTTGAAAGACTTTAGTGTTTTGTTGTTGCTATTTTAGAAAGCAGGATTCAGACAGCTTTTCAAGAATGTATCTGAATTGACTTCTAAAGCATACCCTATTTTCCACATATATATAGGAGAGAATTTTTTTAACCTTTCCCTGTAATCAGCCATTGAGTCACTCATTTTTATTTTGTTTTCAAACTGGTAAAGGTGAGAAATTTAGTTTTTTTTTTCCAAAAATACACTTTAAATACCATCAGAGGCAGGTGCTTCCACTACATGACTCTATTGTGCAAAGTTTTCCTTCCTTATAGCAGCTGCTCTGTGACGCCTGTGATTGGTAATCAGCTTAGCGTTAATGAGGAATCCTCAGGACACCTAGAATATTGCATTTTTGCCCTTAAGGTCTATCTTGCGTTTTCCTAATCGCTTCCTGCTCTCGCTGTACTTTTTGATTTATCGTAACTCTGAGGGATGAGTTAGTGAACAACACCGTTTCAAGCTCGCAGTGTAGCTGAAGTTGTCAAAACGCCAGTGAGCACCGCAGGTCCTCCCCTGCGGTCAGGGTTAAGGGTGGTGCTGGACACTCCCCTCCCAGATGGGCGAGGCTGTCAGCCTGTACCGGCCGGGTGCTCAGAGGTAAGAGGCCTCACCCACCACCTCCTCCACACGAGAAGCAGGAGCTCAGACCACAGAACTCAAGGCTGCTTCTCAGGTAGCCTGCTGTGGTCTAAGACAAATCAGGAGTGGCATTGTAAACCTTACAGAAATATATTTCTTTTACTATTCTGTAAGTTGACCTGAAAACTGCAATTCAGAGGGATTTATACAATTTCCAGGAAAGAAAAAAATGGTTTAGGCCAGCATTTCCCACAGTGTCTGCTGAGGAACCTTGGTTTCTTAGGATATTAATAAGTGTCACATGGGAGAAAGGGTTCCATGTTGAAATAATTTAGGGAAATACTGGTTTGAGCAAAATTAATCAGATGTCTTCACTGCAGGACTGTGTGGGGCCTTTTGTTTGCTGGCAGTGGCTTTCCAAAGGGTGATGGACATAGTATGCCCTATTTGACAAATTGTCTTGACCAGGGGGTACTATTTCCAAAAACAAAAGTTTGGAAGGATTTTTGTTCTTAATCTTCACGTCTTAGCCTTGTTCACCCAAATCTTTGGGTGCATAAGACCTGGAAGTCCAAGTCAGAAGCATGCAGCTTTTTTTTTTTCTTTTGCTCTTTCTTTCCCCCAGTTTTACTGAGAAATAATTGACACTCATGTATAAGTTTAAGGCGTACAGCATGATGGTTTGATTTATGCATATTGTGAAATGATTACCACAGTGGGCTCAGCTGACATCCATCTTCTCATATAAAAAGAAGGAAGAAGAGAGGAAAGGAAAAAAAAATTTCTTGTGATAAGAGGTCTTAGGATTTATTTTCTTAAGTTTTCTGTGTATCAGTCATCATGGTGTATATTACATTCCTAGGACTTATTTATCTTATAACTGGAAATGTCTACCTTTTGACCACCTTCCTTCAGTTCTCGCTGTCTGCACCCTTCACCTCTGGTAACCACAAATCTGATCTCTTTTTCTATGAGTTTGGTTTTTTGTTTTTGTTTTGTTTTGTTTTAGTTTCCACATATAAGTGGGTCATACAGTATTTGTCTTTCTCTGACTCATTACACTTAGCATAATACCTTCAGGGTTCATCTGTGTTGTAGCAAATGGTAGGATCTCCTCATATTTTTATATATATATATATATGTATATCTCACAACTTCTTTATCTATCCATAGACACTTAGGTTGCTTCCATATCTTGGCTATTGTAAATAATGCTGCTATGAACATGGGGGTGCATGTATCTTTTTGAGTTAGTGTTTTTGTTACCTTAGGATATATTCTGAAAAGCGGAATTGTTGCATCCTATGGTAGTCCTGTTTTTAACTCTTTGAGGATCTTCCATGCTGTTTTCCCTAGTAGCTATATAAATTTACATTCCCACCTATAATAAGAGTGCAGTATTTTAAACAGCTTATCAGTTCGTTACCTTAAGAAAAAGTGGTATTTGATCTTTTTCCTGAGTTCCAATGCAATAACCACACGTTGTAGCAGGTGCTTATTATTCCCTGCTCTTTCCAGCTTAGAGTTCACGGTGATGTAAGATAAATAAGGACGGAACACTGGACACTGCAGGCAAACTGCAGGGAGTGACAGTCACCCTTCAGAAAGAAGGACGGCCAGGGGCAAATGCGTCTGTAAACATGGGTTGGGGGAGCGCTGTGCTGGGTGCTGGAGGGGCCACAGGCATGAGCATAAGGGGTCCCTGTCCTCAGGGAGCCATCCAGTCTGCTAGGATGGCAGCTGGGGAACAAAACAAAGAAGCTTATGCTGAGATTCCTTTGGGGGGAAAAGATGGAAAGATAGGAAAAAGAGGTTAAATGGAAAAGTCTGAAGAGCTCTTGCATGCTGTGCCTCAGGCTACCTAGTTGGTTTCATGAGAAGAAGCCCAAAGAAGTGGCTGATATTTGTCAATGCTTTTTAAACTTAAGCCACAAATAAAATCGTTAGACATTTTGCAGACCCACGTGACTGACCAACATCTAAGATGACTTACCGGCTCAGGTGTGTTACTGGTCACGCAGTGACATTTCTTCATGGTAACCTTTTTAACAGGACCTTCCTGAGAGTGGAATGTGGTGCCCCAGGGAGGTGTTAACTGGAAGGGTCGGTACCCAGGCGCTAGTCCAGGCTGAGCCCACAGCGGGAGTGGGACCATAGCTGGGTGGACACACTGCCCACCATATTACTCCCCCGCCCCTTCCTCTCCCTGGGCTGGCCCATGATAACATTTACTATGTAACTCTTATCTACATATAACTTTACAATTGTGTTGTTGTAGAAATGATAAGACAGTTGGCTTGCTTAAGTTTTTAAAGTTGTGAAATTAGTTTTACATAATGTCTGATTGACATAGCTGGGCTGCGTCATACCCCTAGCTTTATTGATTTGCTCTCTTTTTCATTCCACCTGCTAAACTAAGCTATAAAGTACTTAAAATTAAATTCAAATGTTTATAATTTGCATTTTAAAGGTTGTCATATTGCTACGGCAATATTATAGCTCTTGTAATATTTTATAGTCCATTTATTAGTGACTTAATTATTTCTCACCTTCTGACAACTAATTTATTAAAGCTAGCTAAAGAATAGATGAAATACTGATGGGAAACGTCATAAGGTCCTGGATAGCCTTTATTTTTGTAACGTTTGTTATATTGAGCTTAACCCAAAATTAGCCTTCGAAATAAGATCTTATTTCATTTCACTGACTTCCCATTTATAGTTTGCAGACTCCAAATGAGAAGTAAGCGTAGTTTGAGAAATCCACCCCTCCCCACAAAGTCCTGTGTCACTGCGAGTCTGCACTGCTGAAGTTGCCCTCCAGTGAGGACAGGATTGCGGTATCTCCTAAGAGTGTACAGATATGTATTTATGCTGTCAAGATTGTGACTATATTTCTGTCTAAACTCTTATTAATAAACGAGTTGTAGCTGAAATATGCCAGTGTCTTTGTGAAAAAGGAGAGTGCAGGGAAGGAGCTGATTGTGGAAATGTGGACACTGTGTAAGGCGGTGTGGAGGCTAGGAAAGAGGGCCCACGCTCAGGGTGGCCTGCAGCCCCATTTGCCTGGGACAGACCCTGCTTGTACACCTGTTGTCCCAGCATAATTATTAATAGTTCTCCCTTTAACCCTTAACAGTGTCCCTGTTTAGATAATTAGTTGTGTGGTCACCCTGCCCACGGCCCCGAGATTGTCCTAATGGCTCTTGTGATCCCACCAATGAACAGGTCTTCAGAGTGGCCCAAATTGTGGTTTTTTGCCCTATTTGTCGTCCCTCCTTGGATCCCGGAAGTGGTGAGGTTTGAGGCTGGGACGTTGCTCAGGAAGGCGGGTGTCAAAGCCACCCGGGAACAGAGGAAGAAAAACACAGACACCTTCTTAGATCAGGCAGATGGGGGAGAAATAGGGAGGGACTGGTCTGGAGAGTGGGAGTGACTGTGTGGTCACACAAGGGAGGCTTTTCTTCCCTGGAGGAGTTCACAGTTTAGTGGAAGAGATGAAACATATCCAGAGATAGTGAGAGGATAGATGATAGAGAGATGTGTTAAAATATGTAAACAGGGCTTCCCTGGTGGCGCAGTGGTTGAGAGTCCGCCTGCCGATGCAGGGGACACGGATTCGTGCCCCGGTCCGGGAAGATCCCACATGCCGCAGAGCGGCTGGGCCCGTGAGCCATGGCCGCTGAGCCTGCGCGTCTGGAGACTGTGCTCCGCAACGGGAGAGGCTGCAGCAGTGAGAGGCCTGCGTACCGCAAAAAAAAAAAAAAAAAAAAAAAAAATATATATATATATATATATATATATATGTAAACAGATTATTTGGATGTTCATGGGAGAGAACGGTCAGTTTCAAGTTTAGGAATTAGGAAGACTTCAAGGAAATACTGGCCTCTGACCCTTAAGAACACCTCAGATTTCAGCAGGTGAAGAAAAGGAGACTGTTGCAGGCTGAGTTCACAGGGTGAAACGCTCTCAGAAATGGGAAGCACGTGTTCTAGGAAATTCAAGCGTGGACCGTGGGAGTTCTTGCACATTTTTGAGCAGCAAAGAGCCATGCTCAGAATTAAGATTATGGACTGTGGGAGGGTAGGGGTGAAAGAGAACTCAGAGGCCGCCTGCTGAGCGTCTTTATTTTGCAGATGAGAAAATGGAAACCCAGTGGTGCATCAGATTAATGGCAGAACCATTAATGGTTCTAATGGCAGGGTTAGAACCTGACTAGTCTCTTTGTCCAGTTTTTGCCCT